TGAAAACCTGTGAACAGCAATTTGAAGCTGAAATATTTGCTGAAAGTGGATTTCAAGATTTTAAATTATTTTAGTTGTCAGTGATTCAGACACAAGAAGTAATAGAACTCATTTGGGAAACAAGACTGATTTCTTTCAATGAACTTCATGCACTGAGTGCTCTTTCTATATAGGAGAGGAACATTAGACTTTCTCATCCATCACACCCAATAGAGCTGGTGGTTAAATGCTACAATTCATACCCTAAACAATGCAGATTCTTGATCAAACTTGCCAAGACCTATTCCTGCAACTTAAAAATATTCCCTTGATTCTCAGAAATTTAAACAACACTTGGCATATTTGAATATATTTCTTTCTGCCTATTGACCTTATATTCCCCTTATCAAGATAACAGAATTTCCTTAGAAGTTGCCTTGGGCATTTCTGCAAGGTCAAAAGCACATAATGCACAGACAGGGATGAACCTACTTTGAATTACTGCATCCATTCATGCTCCAGTGGTTCTGCAACCCTGATGGCAACAAATGAAGTCTGGTGTGTTGGGAGTACAGCACTCGGAAAGCACAGAAAAAGTATGGTCAGACAGAGCCTTGACAGGCTGTTAAACATTTACCACCACTAACACAGACCACAGTCACAGAGCAATGGGGGAAGTTGACAGAACTACATTATTGCAACCACAAATTCACACCTGCCAAGAGACACCCTAGTCATTGCACTGTGTTGGTGTTCTGATAGAATGAACAGCACGGGATGAATTCAAGGGATGAATTTGCCAGGAGGTTCTGAAGAACTGAAACCGTTTTGTTTCTTATCTGAAGTTATTTATGGTGGGTTTTTTGGAAGCTTCATTCAGTCTAAAAATAATTTCTTGATTGATGCTTGATGAGGACTCTACTTGCTATTGCAAAGTAGTACTAAGAACCAGCAGCAGACAAGGTTCTGTGCCTTAAATAATTTCTGTCACTTAGAGACAGTTTCTAGTCCTTTTCTTTTGTTGAAATTATAGCCTTATTCATTTTATAGTATTAAATCAAAGGTATACACACTCTGGAAGGACAGCTAACCTCAGGGCAGTTTACAGCTCAACCTCTGTCTCTGGGTAGCAGAGTTGAAAATCAGCAGCTATCATGGAAACATATTGTAAAGCTGGAATACTGCTGTGAATAATGAAGCATATCAAGTGTTTGGATAAATCAAAGGAATCTAAATGGGCCTAAAACAGCAAAGAGTAAAAGCGTTAGGGCTTGTCTTCTTTCCAAAATCTTCCATTAGTACCTTCACAGAGACCTGTTTCCTACCTCTCAGATACTGATTCAAAATTCCATTTAGAAAATGAAGAACATGATCCTGCCATCTCCTCAAAGATTTAACTTTATGGTAGAAAGATTTTATTGTTGTTATTTGCCATTAAAGGTAATAATTCTGGCGTAGTTTTCTTTTGCTTGCATTTGTGCTATTTTATTAATGTTTCCATAGTAGCATTTAGCACTGTAAAAAGAATTCAAATTTTTAACCTGATTATTAGTCTTCATTTTCATCCTCAAAGCTGGTATGTTTTCGAAGAAGCTCAGGGAGGAGGAAGGAATAAGACTCAGACACTGCAGTCCATCGCTGCCTCTGAGTACATACACTTAGATTGCTTTTCTTTGATGCTGCTGCCAATTTTATTCACAAGCGTATAAAAAAAAGGTCATGACATTTAGAATTACAGTACTTTGGAAATTAAATGTTCCTTTAAATTTTTAATTTCTGTAAGTAATTTATCATGGAATAATATTTGAATATGATTGAACGAATATGTGAAGATTAATGCAAACTGTCTTCAAACTGGAAGTTCACAATCACATATGTTTAACCTTGCTGTGTAATAGGTATAGAAACGTTGATATGTGAGCTCCAAGAGCTGCATTTCCATATTGCTGGAAGCACTTGCACTGTTACTCTCCTTAGTATTTTTCCACTGGCTTATCTGTATAAGGCATGAGGTTTAGCTCTCTGTCATTTTCTACTTAACATTACACTTCACAAACCTGGCAACTAAATAAGGAGCAAAAATGAATCCCAGTGATCTGCAAAGTTTTTTCATGTGAATTTTTATGTGAGACTTCAAACTACTGATTTTTAGGCCAATTCAGCAATATGAATAATATTATTGTAGTATATGAGGAAATAAAATAATTTTGTGTGACCATTAGAGAAAGCAGTAAGATACCACACAACCAACATTCTAGTCAGAAGCTCCCAACTCAGAGATGTGGGCACCTGACGAAGAGGAGGTCACTGACGTGCTCTCATGGCCAGGTTTTGGGAGTCTCTTGTCAAGGAAGGGACTTTCCCATCTCACTGTCCTGGTTTAGGGCACACAGTTTAACATCACAGTCACCCCAGGACGCACACACAGGTTCATCAGATGGTTTAGGTTGGACCTTTCAGATCATTGAATCCAGCTGTGAACTCAGCACTGCTGTATCACCTTAGCCATTGGTCAGGGCTTGTTTCTCCAAAGCCAGCTGACACTCTTTGCTCAGCAGAAAAAGGAATCTTACAAAAGGCAACAGCAGACTCTGGAAATTTTTTTGTGGTCAGCAACTACAATTCATAATTTCCTCATACACTAAAGAAAGCTGACTGGGCCCCAGGCTGCAAAGGGCAGACACACACAATTCCAAATCCCTGCTCAGATGCTGCTAAAATTGTACCTGCATAACATTTATGCCAGTGTGTATAATTTATTCGTGTTTTCTAGTGGAAACTCCTGGGAGCACTTTGTTAGAAGACTTACAAACTCTGAAATATTCAGTTTGAGACTCCATTGCACTCAGTGGGTCAACTGAAGAGACAGTGTCTGAAGAAAGGAAATTGGGGAAGATAAAGGAAATCTTTAACTGAAATGTTACTGGCACAAAGATCCAGAAGAAAAGCAAGTTATAAAGCACCTTTGCTACTGATTATTTGATTTGCAATTCTAAACCCTTTTGTGGACATTTCAGTACTTAATATTAGTAATCAATAACAATAACAATAATAATATCCATGTCACCAGGGCAATGGCAGGAGCATTGCTAGTTCAAGTCTGGCCTCTTGAAAAAGCCTTCAGGAAAGTTGCTCTGCAGATCACCCAATTCATTAAATTAATGCTTTGTTGGCTGGAGTTAAAGTTTGAGTTGGGCAAAACAAAAGCCTGGGTTTCAGAATACATATACCCTGTCAAATTGCATTTATCAAGATAAGGGTTATTAGAATCTTTTTTCTCTTGTGTGAATGAAATTGTAAGCTTGAAATGTCACTGAAGATTTATTAATCTGATACTCTTTCTGATAAGGACAGAGAAATAGAAAGGGCAGAGAAAAAGAAATATTTCTTGTAGCCTGATAAGGACTACAAGAAATAGAAAATATGAATAAGGCAATTTATCAGTGGGCATTCTGTAACCAAAAGATTCAAGTGACACAAAGTGATAGTACAGTTATATATCTATTTCAGAACACTGCCATTTACAACACTTGGTCAAAGTTTGAGAGCTGTGCAGAAAAATGTCTACAATTTTCAAAGAAGGATATTTAATTAAACCTGAATTTTCAAACTGTAGGATGGTCTAACACTTGATCTAGAAAGTAGATGGAGGCCTAATATGAAAACTGGTGCTGTGCTAGAGTATACAATGTGTGCAGGGAGAACCACCAGCAGGATCACCAGTGTTCTTAGCTGAGGTGACAGTGCCTAAACTAACCAAAATAAATGTTTAAACATTAAATGTTTAAATATTTTTTCCCTGTTTCTGTGCCTGATACCTGTAAAACATGTCCACAGTGGGGAGGAGTAAGAGTGAACAGAGGTTCACAATTATGTTGGGTCGAACAGACCATTGTTAAAGCTTCTTGTTATACTCCATGTGATGCACAAGACATAAATTAATAATAATTTAATAATAATTTAATAATAAACACATTTCATTACTCAACATGACAGAACAAACCCTGACTAACCACCACTGGTTTTGTGAGCTCCCAATACAGGCAGGAGTCCAGCAGCAGTCAGTGAGTTAAACTGTCTGCAGTCCTGAGAGAGGGGAGACAACAGGATTCTAAACCAGGCCTAGATCCAGGCTCATGCTCACTGTGCCAGCTCACCAGAACATCTGCACTGGTACCATGAAACCGCAGCAACAGGAAACCAACTTTTTCCTTCCAAAGGGCTTTCCTCATAGCAGGGAGAAAACTTAGACAGAAGCTGGCTGTGACACCTCCCCTCCTGCTGCTGGACTTCTTTCAGTCAGTCCCTTCCCTTCTGATAGAATTAAGTCCCTTTGGATGAGATCTCTCCGAGACAGGTTGTGCTTGCTTCCTTGGAAAAGATCTGAGTGAATGAGCTCACCAAGCTTTCAGATCTGCAGAGAGAACTCACCAGAGAGCTGGCAGGGAAAAAGGCCATTTGTGCTGAGACTCCAGCCTTCAGTTTGATACAGCATCATTTGCAATGACTTTGTTATTGAAACAGATTTATACATGAATACAGATACAACTGTCCATTCAATATATATTTGACTTCTAATGCTAATATTAATAACAATAGAGATTTAAATGATAATTCAGGTCCCATGTAGTACACGTGCAACTTTAAATGACTTTTTAGTTAACACAGTCTACTGATTTTTTTTTTTAACTCACAAAATAATGAACCATCAAGTAATATATTTTCTTTTGTACTTCTACAGTTCTTCAATATTTCCATTTGAAATACCTTCATTTAAAATTGAGATTCATAAGCCAGAATTTAGTTTTCCTATGAGACTCTCTCAAGTAGGAGTTGGTTTTGCAGCAATTAAGGTGTCTGAAAGCACTACCTGTTTAGAAAATGGTTAGCTGCACCTTATCTCTTTCTCAGAAAGCCTTACATAGAAAATGTGCCAGTTAAGAAAACGGTTCCTTACACTTTTATAAGAACATAGCAGGAGCCAAATTATCTGCCATGATTTCCTTAACAGTTCAACTTACCAGTCTTCTCAATCTTGTGTTTTAAACTTTCAGGTCCTGGCAGGCAAGGGCAGGGCCCTTCACATCGAGCTGTGATGGTTTTGCCAGAAGTACATGCATGGAACTCCATCTTGCACTAGAAGCATCAAAAAAAGGCAAGAATACTAATTAGGACAAGATATAAAATAGCAGCTATGGATTAAATGAGAAATTGTGTTATCAGTAGTAATGGCATTGGATAGATTGCAAAACTTCAGTCTCTACTGCAAATACTTTTATAAGATAACACTGACTATTCCTAGCCTTTGTTGTTTGCATTACCTACATCTTAGTTCTGACTTTCTTCCAAGAGTTTTGTGCCTGTGTAGTTGCCCTCTCTTTAGTGACTACCCCACGGGTACTCCCCCATTCTGTGTCCAGCAGCACCAGGGTCCGGACACTGGACTAAGGCAGTAATAAAATCAAGTGAAAGAAAACAGCACAGGGCTGCAGAAACATAAGTGTTCTCTTTGGCTTGATACCTAATGAACCAAATTCAGCTCCATTTTTTGTCTTCTTCGAGCATTGCTTTTACAAGACCAGAATCCAAGGGCTTTTGATACGCAGGGGAGTGTTGCTGTGGTGCCCAGGCTGGATGTCCTCCCTGCAGGGACTGCCCCCTGCCAAGGAAAATGGGAATGCTGGGCTGCAAAATCCTTTTGATCTGAGTTTCATTGAAGATTAGTTCTATGATTCATTTAAAAGCAGGCCAACATGTTTACCCACTGGGACATGACGTGTTACTGAAGGACACGGTGCCTGAGACCATGGTGTTACCACGGAGGATCCAGTGGGCAGCTGGAGCTCACTGGGCAACAGCCACTGCTGAAACGCACAGCATCATCCTCTGTAATTCCAGTGCAGTGGGAGCCAAGAGAACAGAGCAGGATGTTACAAGATAAACACCTCCGGCTTTGAAAGTACTGCAAATATCTTGGCTTTGCCTGTGTTTGTTTTTGTTAAAAGGGCTCATTGTTACCCAAGGTTCAATCTAGCAGCAGGAGACCATTATGCTATGCCTACATCCCATTCTGTTGTCATTATCCCCCCACCATCCTCAACTTCAATGCATCAGGGTGATTCTATGCTCTCTGTGATGTCCTGCCCTTCTCATTTAGAAAATGCACGGCCACACACAAACATGTGCAAGCTTAGCTTACGTTTTACACCAATTTCTCGCAAGACTGAAGGGAATATGTACTTATTTTTCAACTGTTTACTCCATAAATAACACTCTGCACCGAGCACAAAAACAAGAGAGAGCATATCAGAAGGAGAACAGGAGAAAGGACAACACTGAGTGCAGACCTGAAGGCAATGACTTTCTGCAGCATATTCTGATAGTCAATGTGTTATTGAGAACACAGGCATAAATCTTCCTGCAGCTGGAGCTGATAATTTAATCCCTTACAGAACATCAATTACTTACGTATTTTATTATGCATAATAAATGTAAATTATGTATCTAAGCATTAGCAATTATACTTCAAATACCAGTCTTTAAGATGGCACCAGCCTATTTCAAGCCTATTATTATGTGCAGTTAAGAAAGGAATAACTTTATACTTAGAAACACCAAGTTTTTCCCCAGCTTTCTAGACAATTGATAAAAACTACGACCAAAAAGCTAGACATAAACCAAAAAAATAAACTGCTCAAACTGGTTGTATTATCTGAGGACCAGCAGGAAAGCTTGAAGATCACAATGCTGCAGTCACATGTGAGTAAGTTTACACCCATGATTAACCACATTATATTCCCACCATGCTTGTTTGGGATGTTTGGTGTTGGGGGATGAATATTAAAGAACTCCATAATTTTAAATATTAAATTAGGATAATACAAATTACTTTTCAACACCTAATCACTGTATGTAAGTCTTTATTCTTTCCCTAAAGGAAAACATGGTGATGTCTTACTTTGCATGTGATGGTGTGCTTACTCACTGTTATAACCTACACAAGTAGCTCAACTTTTTGATTTAATGACTTTGCCTAAGCCTCACTAAGTGATATTCAGAGGCAGAGTGGCCACAGAGGATGTCTTAATATGTAAGGATATAGAGTAATAATCATTGTTTGGATTATTCTGCCACTGGATCTACAGCTTTAAGGAGCCTGCTGGCTTTCTCCAGACGATGGACAATAAAATGATACACAGTACTTGGAAAAACTCTGTCTTTCACACCAAAGGGACATTGTACATCTTGCAGACACGAGTCACAAAGCTCCTTGCAGTGATTGTGCACAGGACTCAGTGGGAACAGCCCCACAGTTTTGTGCCAGTCCCTCTCATTTCAGGGGACTCATTTTGCCACTGATATGACTGGGTATGCCTCAACTCTGCTGAGCTGCTTTAGTAGAGATCCCTGGGTTGTGCAAGCTTTGTATTTTTCTGCAGCCTCCCTGGTGTGTGAACTGCATTTGTTTACTCTGAACCCCAAGGCCCACATAAACATCTCTAAACTATTTTACTGCAAATGGAAAAGCAGCTCTGTTATTTGTTGCTAAATGTATACAGAGATCAATAAAGTATATGAGGGGAGAAATGGTTGAACATATTCATGGAAAATTCATAAATTAATTTATTCAACTAAGATGTGGGAAATTACTGCAGAGTGTGTTTTGGTTAAAGTGTTCCCCTGAGAATCCACTACTCGTATAATGATTCCCTCTTTATTGTCAGTGAATCCACAGCAATGTGTTTTGCATAAGCATTCACATTTGAGGAAGAAAGAAAATAGCTACATAAAATTTATTCCTAGCTATTTTATTCTTGTCTGTTAGTTTCCAGCCTCCAGTTCCCACTAGAGGAGAATCTAGATTTTTTTTTTTTTTTAATGATATAATAAAACAGTGTATCTTTGCCTTTATTTTGGCTGCCAAAACCTGGCAGCCAGGTTTTGATCTAACCTGCAAATGAGTTATCCTGTGAAATAAGTTACTGTGATCTTTTCTGCAAGGCTGTATATTTGACTACTGAATGTTTTAATGGATGTCTTGGTACAGCCCAGTGCATTAATGCCATGAAGAGCTTTGCATCCTGACAGAAACAACTCATGGATTTGCTTAAAATGCAGACAGGTGCAGCAGCACATCCAAGCCCTGACAGCACCTTTCAGTAGCAAAACAGTGGGACTGAGATGTAATTGCAGGTGCCCCAGGGGGGCCTGTGACATCCTCTGTGCCCAGGATTGCTCCTGTCCATTGGGCACAAAGAAGACAGACAGAGCACTCACAGTATCCTAGGCAATCTCACAGCCTCCATAACAAACTCCAGGGAAGGGGGTGAGGAGAGAACACTACCCAGGGATCCCTCAGGGGAGGCTCTCTGAGACCCCTGTTTGGTGTTAGGGCATCAAATCATAGAGCATCCTGAACTGGAGGGAACTCACGAGGATCATCAAACACCAGCTCCTGATTGATTCACAAGCCAAAAATCTATAGCTGAAAATTTCTTGTAGTCATGCTAATACAGGAGAAAGTGTTAGGTTCCAAACTTCTGTAGCTTCTTTCATTAATTTAATGTGAATTAAACAGGAGGGTATGTAGGAATTAGCAGACAATATACATGACGAAGATAAACAAGAAGTCTCATTTAAGAAAGAATGAACAATGAAACAGGAGGTTAAATTTTATAGTATACTAATTAAGTGTTAAACTCCTGAGATATTACATCATATTAATGGCAGTGTCTCTAAACCTATTGATGAACAGTGCTCTTGCCTGGAAGACACTACATTTTTAGCACTCTACAGCTTTTTACATTTTCACCAAGAATGATTTCACTGCAGTGTTTGTTTTATGGTACATCTTTTGTTCACTCACAATATGTCTCTTCGAAAATACACATACAAATAACAAAAGCTCATTATTTTCTACCTTATCTTTTACCCAGTAGCTGCCACAGGCAGAAGTTAAAATTTCCTAAAATTATAACATGTATATATTTTTAGTCCAGAGTTTCTTGGTATCAGTAGTGTTTCCTACCTATCTGTCTTAGCAGATAATTAGAATCCATTGGAATTCAGACACCCCTTTGAGAGGGGTTGTTTGTTTACAAGCTTTAGAGCAGTGCTCGCCATTGCTTCCTTAGCTGGGACTCTTATCAGTATTTTCTTTATAAGCCTCTGCTTCCAGTTTTCATCAGATGGAAAAAAAAAATACAGTATTTGGAACACACTCAGATCAAGTGTGGGTTTTTTTAAAAACTTGTCACAACAAAAAAAGCTTCAGTATCTTCTCTACAAATCCGGAAAGAAATGTCAGATGGTGCACTTCCACTGCATCCTGCTGAACACATACATTAAGTTTTAATGGGAATTCTCCAAACTTTTAAGTCTCTGTAAAACCTGAAATAAGGATTGAAAGACAGCAGCCAACCACATGAATTCGTGTTCATTAAAAAAACCAGACACTAATGTGAAGTCTTGAGGCGAGTCTCAAGATTCTGGGCTGTGTGGTCCCTTAGCACTTGCCCTCCCTGCCGTGGGTTCTGCTGCCCTTTTGCTGCTCTGCAAACCAGAGCCCCACAGTCCTGGGTGTTGGGAAGGAGAGGGTCTGCCCTGAGACACAGTGCTTCAGGGTGGGCACTGAAAATATGGGCCAAGCTCTGTCCCCAGGACTGACCACTTGGGCTTTCTGTGGGCACTAGTGGCTGTTCCACGGCCAGACCAACACTGTTAGTACCTAGTGCAGTCATCTCATTTTTCTGGGCAGCCTTCTGCTCACAGAGTAAAGCTCCACACTGCCAGGCCTCCTGCCCTGCTCGTGCACTGCTCCAGGACGGGACTGGCTCTGCTATCGCAATAAAAATAAAAGGGAGGCTGGGGGAAAAAAAATAATTATAATAAAAACCCACAATTTTTTTCCTATTAAAATAGCTACAAGGTGAGCACACAACACTTAATCTTTCCAATAAAAGCTGTACAAAGATATCTTAAAATCCTGGAGCTCTAATTAGGAGCTATGTTCTCCTTATGAGAATACATAGTTGGTGTTGATATTAATGGGACTTATGCATGCATACCACTGGTGGAATAAACTCTAATTAACACAACCAATCTATTGTGTAAATACATATTAAAGCCTTTTTAAA